ACATAAATATATATAATATAATAATATGTGTAGGCCTAATATTAATTTGCACACTCACATACACATGCACGCACGCGCACACACACTCACAAACACACACAATATGTACAAAAATGATAAAGATAAAGCTATCCCAAAGACGTGTGCAAGTTGCAATTAAGTTACGTTGGGAAGAATATCTTTCCCGTATTGTTTAAGAAAAAAAATCCATTACATTTTTTTCTATGCTGTAGGCTGCAAACAAAGTTACACTCCTCACAGCTTCTTATGAACGTATGAAATATAGTATGTGCCCTCCCTCCCTCCCCCTCCTTCGCCCACTCCCAGTGACAGAGGATGTGATCCTGAGAGGGTTTCTCGTCCCCAAGGACACCATCATCATGCCCAGTCTCGACTCGGCGCTCTTGTCCGCGAATGTCTGGGGTGATCCCTACAACTTCCGTCCCGAACGATTCCTTGACGATACTGGGAAACGCCTCGTTGTGAAGGAACAGTTCATCCCCTTTTGCATAGGTAAGCATTAAGTAGACGTTAAATAAAGACTTAAATAATTAACGTATGTGCCGTAATTAGACTTCACAAAGCTGGGCCAGAGACGCATTATTATTTATACCTGTGCTCTTGAAAAAAAATATTAAAAAATTAAAGACCTTCTTAAGCTTATGGGAATATTATTTTGAACTTTCAAAATTCTTTTCTGTTCACTTTCTTGAACATAATATTATGTTTTTTCATCATCCGTCGGAGAAAAAATACAACTATGATTATATGCGAGAAAGAAACACAATACATGATAAAAGTAGAGAGTGTAACACTTGACAACACCCCAAACTGATCGCAAGCACTAAATATCTCTGTTTGCTCACATTCAATAGAAGAAGGAAAAACTGAAAATGTTTCCCTTACCACCCACATCAAGCATCTTACTTTAAATTGATAGGAAGAAATATTATTTCAAAAGAGGTGAGCCGTTAGCTCAACTGGTATTATGATAGACTACGTAGCAGATAGCCCTGGTTCAGATCCCTAAGTGGGCCTTTTGAACTTGTGTTTTGAGGACTTTTTTATCCGCACATTTGACTCGGTCCTATCTGAAGTGGACGTTAAATTCCTTCCGCTTAAATTAACGGCATTACAGAGTTGAAAGGGGCATTCTACCTTTGCAATGACAGCTGATTATTGTTTAAAAGTGGTTGGGACCCCCATCGTTTGTCGGGCACTCACGACAGTGTGGTGTCGTAGATTAGACCAGATTACTTACACATCGATCTGGACGAAGGTCTGACGAATAGCGTTTTATTCTTGCTCTAAATATTGCTATTGTTGGGCCTGTGTGGCTGGTGGTGGGTGGTTGTGTCAAATATGCCTTCCTAGTTCATCCCAGAGATGTGCAATTGAGTCTATGCCAGGGCTGTTAGATGGCCAAGGTAACCTATGGTCCCCTGCTTGCTGATGATTGAAAGCTAGCATTTTCATCCTGCAGTACTTGGACCGATCTGTTGAAAGATGGGACAGCGATAGATTGTAAATCTCTCCTATAGTGTCAAATTTCCAGTTACATGACGGAGAGGTGCTCTTGTAAGGCTACCAGTGCCCCCCCCCCAAAAAAAAAAAAAAAAAAAAAAAAAATCAGTACAGAGTAGGCCTACCTCCTCCCGCTGGATTTCTTTCATGAAATGCACTATCTATAAACTAAACCGCTTTTTACGCCTCTTCCAGACTCTGATACACCCACCAGTAGGTTCCAGACAGAACCTAAATTCATCTGTAAACATTACCTGTGCCCATGGCTGCCTTGTCCATCTCCGACGCTATACTAACTTATACCCCCAATGCTCGCCTGGCCACCGTGTGGTTTGACGGAAGCGCTGTTCTGATAGCAGGACGTCTTGTTGGGATGTTTTGGGGCTAGCCTACATACTGCCCTCTCTGGCTGTAAAGGAAAAATTCATTGTCGCAACCTTTGTTTACCAAAGGAAAAACAACATTCCCACGGACTGCATGTTTTTTTTTTTTCGTGAACATTAAAAACCTTAATGGCTCTTTTTTTTAAAAACAAGTTTTGTGCGACGTACAGCTGTTTTCACAAAATTGTGTACCGGTATACTGTGTTACAGTACAGCATGTCCCATTTATGTTTTCCACTGGCGTCTGTGGTATAGCAGATATAGGCACTTCGTCGTTGCATGCATTGCAGAAGGCGTGAGTTCTAACCCCCTGACCTGAAGGGAGGATTTTTATCGAGCATCATCAGGGGCACTCGTGGTCGAGAGGTTACGGTGTTCGCATTCTCTTTCGATAGGTCCCGGGTTCGCATCCGGACAGCGACGGGGAATTTTCTTCTTTAAAATTGTCTCCTTTCCTGCTCTCTAACAATGTTCTGTCGTCCGCTTTCGTTTCCACCTTCTGCCCCTCACTCTTTCGGCAGCCTTTCTACTGTTACTCTTTGGATCCTTTTTAGTACTGTCTTTCAGCCACACCCCTGATCTTATGGTAGGTAAGTTCTAACACCTAGTCTTCTCGGGTAAGGGCAAACAATCGCGGAGGTCGCGAGTGCAAGCTGCGCACCTTAAAGATCCCTTGGTGGTTAAAAATCGATCGGCACCACCTTGGCAAAATTTAAAAAATTCGACCAATTGAAAATGTTTAGTTCGTCCCTGGCGCTCATATGACCTTCTTATGCAGTTTCAAACGCCGAAAAACACATTAAAAAATGTCGAGCATCTTCGTCTTTCTGATGGGTTGGCCGAAACAGGAAGGGTCGAATCAGCCTGAATGATTTGAAATTCTTTAGATGGGGACATAAAACATGAACAACCATATTTTAACCCCC